CAGTGGTTAAGGAACCTGACAAGGATGGAGCTAACTGAGATTCATCCACCACCTTATGACGAGCATACAGCCAGAATAGCCCGAGAATTGCTGGATATAGTTCAAGCTCCTCCCCCCAAAAATACTGAAATATCGATACTTGGGGACCAGGCAAGTAGCATACATGGCATACGCAATGTTTGGGCATAATCCCTGGCATTGCCATTAAAGGATTAATAAAGAGGGGCCGGTGAGATGTACAGTGGGTAGGGAACTTGCCTTGTATGCAGCCACTCTGGATTTGAGCCTCAGCATCCCCTATGGTCCCCCAGCACTGCCAGGAGTAATTCCTGAGCACCAGTAATTACTGAGATCCAGGAGTAAGCCCTGAGCACCACTGGGTGTAGCCAAAAAAACCAACAACAAAAAAAAAAAATAAAGAAAAAGTGAAAGAAAAACTTGAGTTTGAGCTCTGGCATCATATAGTCAGTCCTCTAAGCACCACAGAGTTGGGAGTACCCTCCAAGCATTAAAAAAAAAAATTTTTAAAAGGTTCCTCAAATTTTATTATGAATAAGCATATCTATTTTTAAAGCCATTTAGATCCCAAAAATTACAATAAGAAATGTCATATTCAGGGCAGATAGGGCACTTGCCTTACAAGTGGCTGAACAGGTTTGGTCTCCAGCATACCATATGGTCCCCTGAGAAATGCCAGGAGTAATTCCTGAGTGCAGAGCCAGGAGTAAGCCCTGAGTATTGCCAGGGTGACCCAAAAACCAAAAGCCAAAAAAACCTTATATTCTATTACAGATGACCCAGCATAAAAACTAAAATTCATTATAATACTAATAAAGTACATCTCACTTATAACAAAAATATGAAATCTATAAAATAGTTTTCAGTTGTGGGTTGGAGAGGAAAGAGGGTATAAAGACAAACTACAGAGAGAAGGCAAAACATATGCCTTGAATACATGAGACCCTGGTTCAGCAAAAAAAAAAAAAAAAAAAGCAAAACATAGTTTGATTTTTTTCACCAAAAAAATAGATTTCTGAAAAATATATGAATTAAATAAATCAACTGAAAAATATGGATAATTGATTTATCTTAGAAACTGTATATGTATAAACACTATATTTTTCTTCTATTTTTATCAACATAAACTTTCCAAACAATTTTCAGACTGTATTATAAGGTGAAATCAGATTCAGGGCAGTTTTCTGCTAGTATACTGTATTGTTAACAGATGTCCTAGAGGTTTACAGCCAGGGTATTATATGCCTCCACCGGCTCTGAGGGCAGACTGCTGGGGTTCAAATACCAACTCTGCCAGTTACTGGACATATGATCTTGACCAAAAAATGTAAATGTGCTAACCCTCAATCTCTCTGTCAGCATAATGAAGATAATAATAGTCTTCGACTGCTAAAGAGTTTCGATGAGAAACTACATGTAAAGAGTTTAGCACAGGGCCATTTAGCATAAATGTTGGATGATCATCTCCCTACAGTGACCAAAGGGAACATTTAGACAGAAAAAAAAGTTAAGACTAGATATTACATAGAAGTTTGGGGTTATGCGATTGCACTATATGAAAAACTGGTAATCAATAACATGACAAGACTGTGAAGAACTTCCAGTCGCTTTTGTGGTAACAATCAAGAGGCTAATCTAGAAGGAAGGTGCTTTCCTTGCAGGCACCAACGTGAGTTCAATCCCCAGCATCCTATATAGTCCCCTGAGTCACCACCAGGAGAGATCACTGAGCGCGCAGCCAGGAGGGGCACCAATACAAACAAAATAAACCCAAAACTATCAAAAATAAACAGTTATATGGTACTTTACTATAACCCAGATACTGCACTAACCAATTTATACAGCTTATCTGAACGTGCATGAAGAAATAATTCCTGAGGTCAAATACATAAGGTTGATTTTTAATAGAATCTCTCCTATAAATTTTTTGGCCACTTTTACCTTGTCAATAGCACCACAAGTGGGAAGAGAGATGGCACAGGGTAAGTTAAGGCACTGCATTTCACACAGTGGACTTCAATCACCAGTATCACATAAACATACAAGGGTCCCCAGCCCACAGCTGAGATTCAATCATGAGCAGACAGCTAAGTATAGTCCTTGAGCACCACCTCCATGTAGGACTCAAAAAAAAATAGATAGCAAAAAAAATAGCATCACCAGGGACAAAAAGAGACCAAACTCAGTTCACTCTGGCTATAACTGGCGAATGGTTTGGGAGAAAAAAACAACTGGCAAACCCCACACTACTTGTCAATAACAGGTCTGAGAATATTTATTGATTTAATCTCTCCCCTGACCTCATTTTCAGAGATAATTAATCAAATGGCAGCCATATTCAAATTCAAATTTTAAAAAAGTAACTAAAAGTTTACATCATCTCCTAACCTCCAAACATCTACATCAGATTTTAGGTTATCCTAAGATTGAACGTGGATAGGGAAAATCAGAATAACAAGAGGAATTGTGATAAATGACTGCCAAATGAGATCTTTCTGTCTGATATGCCCTCCAAAAATAGGCACATAAAGAAAAACCAAAAAAGAGATTCCTTTTCTAACAAAGTAATCCTACCTTTCAGTGTTCCTTCTTTTAAAAAAATAATAACAATAATGATAACATTAAGCATTAGAGGCTGAAGCGTACAGCAGGTAAGGAATTTGCCAAGGAATTTGCCTTGCAGACAGACCCTAGTATCCCATATGACCTCCAGAGCACCACCAGGAGTAATTCACCAGGAATGACACCTGAAACGTTGAATGTGGCCCAAAACCAAAAATAAATAAGCTTTAAAACAATGCTTCTGGGTCAGAGAGCTCAATGGGGTGGAGCATACACTTGGCATGCAGGAGGCCTGGGTTTGATCCCCAACAACTCATAGTCCTCTGAGCACCATCAGGAGCAAACCCCAAGCAACCTAACTGGGCGTCACTTTGAGCAACGCTGGGTGTGGCAAAAAAGAATTCTTAAATAAGAAAAAGAAACATCCTGGGGCTGGAGCGATAGCACAGTGGGTAGGGCGATTGCATGAAGCCTTGCACGCAGCCAACCTTGGTTCAATTCCCAGCATCCCATATGGTCCCCTGAGCACTGCCAGGAGTGATTCCTGAGTGCAGAGCCAGGAGTAACCCCAGAGCATCGCTGGGTGTGATCCCCCCCAAAAAAAGCAAAAAGAAACATCCTTTAATATTAAATTTTTCTTTTTTTGAAGAATTCCTGTAAAAATTTGAAGAGATTTTGTGAAAATCTGAAAAGATTCCTTCTCATTAATAACTCTCACTCAAATATTTAGGAGTTTCATGAACCCAGTTGAACTTTCAAGGTTAAAGATCCATGCTCTCACCTAGCAATCATGTGCTTCTCAATAATCCTAACTCCTTCACAGGTAGAAACCACCCAAACATCACAACTGAAATGTAAAGAACAAGAAAATGAAGGCCCCCAAATGCATCCCATACTATAAATCAGTGTTTCTCGCCCTTATTTAGAGGCTGACCCCGTATGATCTTGTTTACTTCCTGTGCAACCCCTTCTTCCACTGGGTGGCCCCTCATTTACTTGATTTTCACCTGTGGCTCCCTTGAAATATCCTGGAAACCCACAGAGAATCATCTGCCCTCTGCAGAAAAACAAGACTTAAACTACCTCCTTCAGAAGTCGGTTCTGACGTTTTTCAGCACTGTTCAAAGGATGTATTTCATTTTCCTGCATACCCAAAGAGGATATTATCCAAACCCTCCAATCTGCTTTTCTTTATTCCTTTTTTGAGCCTAGAAGCTTACGACCATCATCAATTCATACGTGAAAGATAAATGTTTGCCTAAGAACAAAAGCCCCCAGTTAACACCCCTCACCACCCCATCCCAAGATTTTCAGAGCACTGCCAACAGATGTGGGCCTGGGCTAGATCAGAAAGCAAGAACAGAATAAGGACACCCCATTCAATCTTATTGTCTGGGGCATTTCCTGGGTTTTTCATGGGCATTTAACACCAAGACACAAGGCTCAGTTTTCATTAAAGATGCAAGACTTTTACTTCGCCTAGTTTCAAATGATGTAATTGATCTTCATTGTCTTCTTAAATAACCTAACTGGTGAAGGACACTGCAGCTTTAAATATTTCAGTGCTAGCTAGCAAATAAGACTCCATTGCAATATGGCTCTGAAGGTCGCGTCCTATTGTCTCTTTCCTCTGGAAAAAAGAGAAAATCCGAACTCTTCTAGGTATCTTAGGGAGGGTTATCCCAAGATTTTCCACTCTTGCCCCTCAAGCTCTTAGAGAGTTCCGGTGTTTATTGGAACGTCACACTCATAATTTTCCCGGCAGGGGGAATATGCTGATTGCTATAAATGACGCGAGCACCTTTGCAAGACACAAACACATGTGTTCATATTAGTTTAATTGAGCATATGCAAGGCTCTGAAATAGCACCACTCAAGGGCTGTTAACCTCTGAGAGCAGAACCAGGGTGGTTTGGAAGTGGACGGCTCTCAAGGGGCACCGAGAGTCCAGGATTGCATAACCCAAAATGTGTAGCTGCTCGAAACGACAAGAATCTCAGCCTACTCATCCTGGGACCATGCCAGCACCTCGCCATACACTTGCAGCTTTACTTGTCAACGAAGGTCAAAAATGAAGAGGCACAACCACGGAACAGAAAAAGAGAGAGAGAGAAAAGGCCCTTTTCAAAACCCTGTCAAGAAGCATAAATACGATTCCTTGAGCATTCACAATGTGCCACTACCCTATAGCCCCACTAATGGGACAGCCCCGATGAACAGCAGGCTTTGGAAAGGGGCGGGGAAACGGGACAGAGTTACGCGTTTTGTTTAGGGGTGGGGGGGGGGGGTCGTCATTCATTTTTCAGGACAGAAAAAAAAAAGCCGCGGAGCACGAAAAGGCAAGTTAGGCCGAAGCAACGCGGGCCAAGGCGGACGGGGCTCGGGGCGGAAGGCGTGCGCCAGGGGCACCGGTGCATTACCTGAAATGGCAACAGATTGTTACCGTTATCGGTCCGGAACGCGTTATCCTCCATCCAGGACTTGGAGGTGAGCGGGGCCGCACGCGGGAACTTGGGGGGCGCGATCACGTTGCTGGAGAAGGGCTTCTTGAGCGGCGAGATGGGGTTGAGCGGCGACGGCACGCCGACGCCCACGCCCACGCCCACGCCCACCGCCCGGCGGGGGTCCCGGCCCGCCTGCAGGCCGCCCCAGGGGTTGGACGGGGCGCTCCAGGCGGCGTTCACGCTCTGGTGCGTGTTCCAGCTGGACGAGGCCGACGAGGCGGCGGCGGCGGCGGCGGCGGCGGCGGCCACGGCCGAGGACGAGGACGGCTTGCTGGTCATGATCGGCTGGTGGCCGTAGGCGGCCGCGGCGCTGCGCTGCGCGTAGGGCGCCTGGCTGGGGCTGGCGGGCGAGCGGCGCTGCGGCGGGGGCTGCGCCTGCGGGGGCTGCGCGGGCGGCGCCGACGGGGGCGCGGGCGGCGGCGGCGGCTGCTGGTGGTGCTGGGTCTGCGCCAGGCCGATCTGCGGGGAGAAGGTGCCTCCGAAGACGGGGTTGACGTGGTGCGGGAAGTTCTGGAAGAGCATGGTCCCGTTGACGGGGGCGATCCCCTGGAAGAAGCTGTCCTCCACCGCGTTCGTGGTGCCCGTGGACCAGGTGCTTCCGAAGGACGGCGACAGCGACGCGCCGGGCGCCGCGGGCTCCTGCGGCGGCGGCGGCGGCGGCTGCTGAGGGGGCTGGTGGAAACTCAAGCCCGGCAGAAGCGGCGATTCCATCTGCATCTTGTCCGGGCCGTTGGAGGCCGATGGGGCCGCGGCGGGGCTGAGCGCCGGCACTGCGCTGCTGTCCTCCGGCTGGGGGGTCTCGGAGGAGAGGGCGGTGGACGGGGCTTCGGCTGCGCTGGGCTCGGGCTGGGGCTGCTGCTGCTGCTGCTGCTGCTGCTGCTGCTGCTGCTGCTGCTGCTGCTGCTGCTGCTGCTGCTGCTGCTGCTGCCGCTGCTGCTGCTGGGGCTGGGGCTGGGGCTGGGTTTTGCTTTTGTCCATCAGTAAATCATCCTGCATGGTTTGCGCAGCTGAAACGGAAGAAAAAAAGAGAAAGAGAGAGAGAGACGCGTTATTGTCAATGTGATCGTTAATGCCCCTCGCCAAAGCGGGTGGATGTTTTACTTGCGAAAATCCAGTGCCACTGCTACTAGCCAATTGCAATGCAAATCCATAATCTCCAATTTAGCAGAACAGGTCGAGCTGGGGGCGGGGGGGGGGGGGGGGGCACGAAGGGGAGGGGGTGCTCCCGTAAGTTCTCTAAAAATACTGTGAGAGCGTCTTCACCCTTTCTGGTGTCTTGGTTCCTTTTCTGTATTAGTGAGAGATGTGCTTTTAAGACAGAAAGACAGCAATTTCGCCACGTCTCTTTTCCCTTCACCGGAACTCAGAGCATTCACCCTGCAATGAGAAACTGATTCTGGTTCCTGTTTTTTTCCCAAGCACCACCCTCCCCCAGTTATTTGCATACGTCAATAAATACTGCTGCGTCCTTCAGCAAGGTTAAAAAGACACCGCACACTGGACCCTTTTCTTCCTCCCCCCTCCCCAATCCCCCCCCCCCCCCCAGCTCGGGCACTTTAAAGGAACAGCAGTCCTATCCCTCTTGATTACCAACTGCCTTTTTGCGTTGGTAATTGTTTCATTTAGCTGCAGCGAACCACGAGGGAGGAAATCCTTGGCATTTGTTAGGAGGTGGACGTGGACTCAGCTGCACAATCATTCTCTGGTCTCAGTAGCTGCAGCTACTCCATTTTGTTAAGAAGACATTTTTTTTTAAAAAAAAAAAGCAAAAACGTTTTTAAAGATATATTTTTTTAAAAATCTACGGAAATCTCTGGAGTTTCTGCATCTCGATACTCTAAGGATTGGGGTTTTCTGCTTATTCTCCAATTTCCTTTACTTCAATTCTGCTGCAAAGAGATTTCTTGGCATCTCAGTGCTTCAGGTCTCAACAGGAGCCTGAGAATTTTCTGCAGAGTGGAGAAACGTTCTGGTTGGATTTGAGGTCAGGGAGAGGATGGGGAATGGGCGGGGGTGGGACTGTAAAATGGGGTGGGGTGAGCTTTTTTTAATACTTATAAAATTTAAGCAGATAGTCAAGATAATCTGGGGTTGCCAGATTTTCATTTTTGAATCATCCTGCTTGCTGCCTTGGTCACAAGACTTTAGCAAATTTAGAACCCATTCTCTTATCACTAGTATTAACAGAGAAAGATTATGGTTTGAAGACCCCGAATTACCATATGCTAGCAAAAGTGTTAAAAATAGCGTAGTACAAAGTCCCACATTCTCATACATTGTAATTATAGTGCATTGCCATCACTGCTTCATTTAGCCATATAAGGAGTGTGTGGTATTTTCCATTTCGCATAGAAGGGCTATATTCATTTATGCCATTGAGCCTGCGATTTCTTATTCAAGGATGAAATTTGTAATCACTCAAACTAGAAGACTTTCATGTATACATTAGCTATCATTTGAGTTAGCGGTCCCTTGGAACATAAATATATGAATTCTACAGTGCTGAAATCCTAGATACACATCTTTTGAAATGTTAAAGGAACAGGAACAATTCTTTTAGGTGACAGTATAATCGCAGCAAAGTTTTTAATATAATGAATGCAATTAACCAGGGTACTTGGAGAAGGATACCCATGAAAGGGCATTTAGATGCCCATCGAAGCTCTGCCTTTAGACATCCTCGTGATAACTTGTGAAAAAATGGATTTTTAAAGATGCAGGTGCTACCATTTCACTAAGCCAATATGTCAGGTAGAGATATGGGAATTGAAAAGCAATGCTATTTAAACTCTATCCCTAAAATGGTTAAAAGTTTCACAAAGGCACATAGCGGACTCAAGGAAATGCTTCAAGCCACCTTACTCTTCTTGCTACTCCTCCTTCACTGCCTTCCCCTCTTCTTACTCTTCTGCCTCCCCCTCCCAAAAAATCAACCCACTACATATTCATCACAAATATTGCCAGCTTCTACCAATAAAACCTACTTAAGATTGATTTTATGTTCCTCGGTTCCCTTGGTCTAAAACAATGGCTTTGATCAGTATTGTAAAACATGACACAAAGAGACAGGCAAAGCTTGGATTCATGACGGTACAAAGTTCTTTGGCTGCCAAAGGGAATGGTCATAGCAAGAGCCATTTTCAGACTTGGTTTCCTGGGTGCTGCAGTAAACCATTGTAATCTGGGATTGGAGTCACTTCCACGGGTCTAAAATTGTCTTTACAATATCCATATCATCATGGCTGAAATATGCATTCAATTATAATTTTATTATCACTCAGCTCTTCTAATACTTGTATCAATACTCTTTGTTAAAACCTTCGATTTAAACCACATGCTCTTGGTGGGAAAATTAATGTTGGACTATCGTTTTAAAAAAAAAAAGCCAAAAAGTAAGCTGAACTTAGGATATTTTATAAAGGCATATTACATTTATTAAATTTAAAGTTATAATTATACCAGGAACACCCATTTCTCTTCTCAACACTCCTGAAAGATATAAATTTCACTTTTTTGCATAAATTCACTGTCAAGGTCAAGACCCATCTTTAATAAATAAGACACTTTCAAGCAAAAGGTAAGCAGTGGATCAAGATAACAGGTACAAAGTTAATCCGCCCTGTCTCTTGGCAACTCCTTGTATAGTTTGTTCGGGTGGGGCTTTTGTTGTTGTTGTTCTTTCTTATTTACAGCAAAGTCCGAGAAATAGACACCTCCTTCCCCTCCCCCCACCACACACACAATAGATCTTCCTTTACATGCAATCACCCAATCTCAAGTAACAAATTTTTAGTAGCAGTTACCTTTGAGTGTCCAGTTTTTAGGGATCGATAGAAATTTTAAATGTACAGTATTTATTTTCTTCTTTCAGGTTGATTATGTGACCGCTCTGGCAAAAGCACTTTGACAACTGTAAGAAGAGAGGGCATGCGCACACAGGGAACTGTGGGGGCTGAAGTCCTTCACGAGGTATTCCGCCAGATTTAAGCACGTTCAGCCTCGAAAGGGGGAAGTCTCGGGAAGACGGATTCCTCGGGGAAGAGGCTGTGCCGGATTTCATTCTATCTCCCTGCCCAATCTCAATCACGAGTCTTGAAATGAAAAGGGGAGGAAGCGAACTCCTTTGTCTCCTTGACTTGGGAAATCAGGCTAAAAGAGAAACTGAATCGAAGACTCAAATCCAGCAGAGCTACCTTAAGTAGTATTAGCATGGTAATGACTGAGTAGCCGGCTCTGAGAACCTTACCCTGGGGAGAGGCTGGAGCTTATTCAGTAAGGAAGAGAGGACGAGTGAGGAAGTGGCGGGGGAGACCTTTAGTGTGACCACATTCGAAAGAAGTATCTTGGGGGGTGGGTGCCTTGCACGCAGCCGACCTGACCCGGGCTCGATCCCCCAACAATCCATAAGGCTGCCGGAGCCCAGGCAGGAGTGATCGCTGAACACAGACCCAGAATTAAGCCTTTGATCACTGTCAGGTGTAACCCCCACCTCAAAAAAAAAAAATTAATAAACATCTTTAATATCATCTAATGAGAAACGTAATAATTGTGATATTAGTTTTGGAGGTGGGCTAAAAAGGGTTTCCGTGACAAAACTTTGACATCCACCACGAAGATTAAAAAAAAATTGTATTTGATGTTTCAGTGAATATATAAATTGCTTTTGGGGAGGTGGGGTTGCCACACCCAGCAGTGCTCAAGGCTTATGCTTGGCTTTGTTCTCCAGGATCATTCCTGGCAGGCTTGGGAGACTATCTACGTGCTGTAATACTGCTCAGGGCCCACAAATTGCTTATTTTTAAGAATCTACTTGATGTGCCCTGAATCAACTCGACTCCTTATTTTACTTGTCAATTTAATTTTTTTTTTCTAATTTTTGGTTTGGGGCCACACCCAGCTGTGCTAAGGACTCAATCCAATCTCTGTGCTCTGGTATCACTCCTGGTGGAATTTGGGGAACCATATGGGATACCAGGGATTAAATTTGGGTCAGCCATGTGCAAGGCAAGTGCCCTACCCACTGTACTAATTCTCTAGCCCTGTCCATTTTTTAATTTACTTTGTATTATTCATGCAGTGATAGGTCAAATACAATTTTCCTTTAATATAAAATATTTGGTGAAACACTAAAAAATATTTAGCGTTTTACTGATTTCTTCGACTCAAAAAGTAAATACAATTGCTCTCTTTAATTGATTTTTAGTGTATATTTTTCTATCTTTAAATTGAGGCATAATTGGTATTACTTTATATTAGCCTCAGGTATACAACAAACTTTTTTATATGTATATACTGCAAGACTCACCACAGTATATATCCATAACTTTTGTTACCGTATATACATTTCACCTACTTCAGAATTCCAAGAATGGAATCTCATAGCACATAAACATCAACTGTTATTATCTACAGCTTTAGAGAGCAACAGATCAATTACCAAATTGCTCACATAAGCAAAATATTTCTTGTGGGATTTAGTACAATGCCATTCACCCAAGGGGCTCAAAGTAAATCAGTTTATGACTATGCTGGTTGAGCTTGAAACCAAACAGGTTAAGCATCATTTTAAACTTTTAATTTTCTATTTCCCTTCTTAATAATACCTAACATGTTATCATAGGCTAATAGTTTGCGGTATTTTGTACTCTTTGTTTCTAGGGGAAAAAATTAACCCGAAGGAAAAAATCATTTTGAATGAAACTATAGAAAATACATTTTGTTTTGCCTTTTGGCTTCCTAATCAGCATTCGTGGCTTCAGGGGCCACTCCTGGCAGTTTTTGGCCTGTGAGTTGGTGGTTCCATGCAAGCGCCAGAAGATGCAATGGAGCTGGCCCCTGGGAATCAGGCATTATGAGGGCAGCACCATCAGTGTTGGGGGCAGAAGGAAGGCGAAACCATGTGGTGCCAGGGATAGAACAAGGTTGGCTACATGCAAGGCATGTGCCTGAACCCCTGTATTCTCTCTCCAGCCGCTCAGAAACTTAAGCGGGAGTAAGCACACAGAGTGCACTGTCCCCTGAGCCCCACTGAGTGGGAGCCCTCCAAAACGCTCTAATTTAAAGGATGGGAGAGTCTTCTTATTCCTATGTGGAGCTTAGTTTATATTTCCCCATTTACTTCTCTTCCTCTACGCTATCAAAGCTACCTTCCTGATAAAGTGCTATGCTTACCATTTGCATTCCAAAATCTGTAAAGATCAACAGAAAGTTAATCTTATTCCTGAGAACTTCCCTAATTTACCAACTCCAACATTTTCTCGTAATTCAACAAGAAAAAGAAAAGATCCTTTTAAAAATCCTCACAAAGACTCCTTTTTAACAGTAAAATAGAAGAAAAAAAAGTTTTTCTGATGACAAAGACTGAATCCCAGGTCTCAAGTGCAAGGATCCTGCTCCCCTCCCCCATTGTTTTGTGGTTGGGGGCCACACCTCATATTGCCCAGGGGCTATTCCCAGGGACTGCTTGGAGGTCATCACTGGAGGTGCT